CCAAATAATTCATTTCTAACTCACTAATTACTTTAGAAATGACAACATCTAATATAACACACTAAAATTTATAATTTAATACTAACTTAAAACACTTGTTATACAATTCATCAAAAATCCAAATAACTTTTTTTACATCTTACGAAACACATTTTCTTACAAATTTCCTTCCAATAATTCTATTAAATTCATTAATAAATATACAATTACTTTATACTTTAAGAAAAACAAATACACAAAACAATCACAAAAACAGAAAATCACTAATATTATACATTTCACAACAGTTAATACGTATTATGAACAAAACGTATTGTTTATACAAAAAAATATATCACATTCAATATAGTGACGATGTACAAAAAACAAAATCACAAAATATGATTTACAGTATCATTTTTTTTTCATTTCACTGAAATCCAAATACAAATAGTAAACAATTAAAAATACTAACCTGAAGGATCCCATCTTCCGCCATGTTTAATTAATATTGATACGTAGTTGTCCATCACAAAAAAAATAGGATTTTTCAAACAAAAAAAACAAACTTCAATTAGTCGCCAGCGACAAAATTTCTAGAAGAAAATTGAAGAGAGAGAAACGTGGAAGAAAAATGGATAAAATCATATTTTTGAATTAATTTTAACAAATTAGAGTGAATTAAGGAAACTGAATATTCTTAATTAGTTTGAGATTCCTTAATTCATGCTAATTAATAATTATCTTAAATTAATTCAAATTTAATTGACACCCCTATTTCCGTTTTTTTTTTCATTTTTTCCTTATTAATTACATATTATTAATTAATAATAAAAAATCATAAATAGATTAATCATTTATTATATAGATGGAAATTGATTTTTAAAATCAGATTTTTGAATTAATTTTAACAAATTAGAGTGAATTAAGGAAACTGAATATTCTTAATTAGTTTGGATCCCTTATTTCATGCTAATCATTAAATATCTACAATAAATTCAAATTAAATTACAGCCCACAATTTCAGTTTTTTACTTTATTATTTCTAATTCCGTTTTTTTTTAAAAAAAAAATTCGTTTATCTTTTTATTTATTTTTTAAGTTTTTTCCAATAAATAAAAACATTCCTTTTTTTTTTAACTTGTTATAAATCTGAAATTTTTAATGTTATAGCTTGAAAGTCTAAATCTACTGTTATAACTTGAAAATAGTACTATAATATATGTCATATATGAAATTTACACTAAAATATATGCTTAAGTAGTTTTAATCAATTAACACTTTTAAGTTTCCATCCAATATTTTAATAAATATTTAAAGTCGACTTTATTTAACTTAGTTTGAACCTACACATAAAAATCTATTTTTTAAAAAATAATTTTTCTATACTTAACACACCTCCCCTTCTTATTTTTGTATCCACATCACAAAATGTAAAAGACATTTTCAATAGAGAAACTCACATATAGCAAACACAAAATTTATATTTGTATGTTATAGCAAAGTTTACATAATTGTGCTCCATAGCAAACATAAATACGTATATTTCGCTATACATATACAAAATAAAGCAGTTGTATAATCTGTTTTGATATACATATACAAAAAGATCAATTGTATAAAGTGAGAGAGGCGAGTGAGTGAGCGAGATCTGGGAGAGGGGAGAGAGGGGAACAAAAATATCTGTATATATACAATTTTCACGCATTTTATACATTTGCGTTTTTGTATAAAGTGAGAGAGGCGAGTGAGAGAGAGAGATCTGGGAGAGGGGAGAGAGGGGAACGAAAATATATGTATATATACAATTTTCTCTCGTTTTATACAAATACAAACACATTTTATTCAATTTGCGTTTTTTGTATAAAGTGAGAGAGGCGAGTGAGAGAGCGAGATCTGGGAGAGGGGAACGAAAATATATGTATATATACAATTTTCTCTCGCTTTATACAAACAAACACATTTTATTCAATTTGCGTTTTTTGTATAAAGTGAGAGAGGCGAGTGAGAGAGCGAGATCTAGGAGAGTGGCGAGCGAGATCTGGGAGAGGGGAGAGAGGGGAACGAAAATATATGTATTTATACAAACACAAACGCACTTTATACACTTGCGTTTGTACAAAAAACGAGAGAGGCGAGGGAGAGAACGAGAGTGGCGAGCGAGATTCACCAAGAGAGAGGTGAAATAGCAACAGTTTGCTATGAGGTACAATTAAATCAAACTATATTTATAGCATTTAATTTGAATTAATAGTTTGCTATTATATACAATTTTCCCTTTTCAATACTATCTTTTTAAAACAAATATTCTCTTTGTCCTTAATTATTTATCAATTTTTTCATTTTTAGTTATCTCTAATTACTTGTCTATTTTAACAAATCAAGAAATAACAATTTTGTTTTTACCTCTTATACCCTCAAAAGGTAGAATCTTTTAAAAATCTTAAATTTTTAATTCATCCACTTCATTAATTAATAGGGGTAAAATGATAAACTCAATATATCAATTTTCTTAATAGATGTCAATTTAAAAATGGACAAATAATTAGAAACAGAGAGAGTACAAGATAAACGAAAAAATAGTGAATTAATCCGAAATCATAAAACCCAAAAACTAAAATATACTAGTATAAATATTGTTGTTCTTATCAAAATCCAGAAAGGGAGTAAAAAGGACACAATAAACAACCACACAAAAAGGCAAAGACAAAAAGAAAAAGGCAGAAAAGGGGGTTTCGAGGATATACTTTTTTGTATAAAGAGAATCATCAAATTAATGATTAAATTACAATGAATCAATTATCCACGATTGCATTGGGGAACGTGAGACGTTTAGTGCAGCGAATATACTACTCCCTCCGTCCCTATTTACTTGTCCATATTTCCTTTTTTAGTTGTTCCTATTTAGTTGTCCATTTTGACAAATCAAGAAAGGACAACAAATTTTTTCCTATTATACCCTTATTTACACTTCTTGAAAATTGTAAAAGTGTATGTTGTTTCCCTCCAATTTATTTCACTTTAATTCAAATAAGTGGTTGTAATTTTGAAGTGAAAAGTTGTCATAAGGGTAAAATTATAACTTCACTGTGCTAATCATTGTTGCCTTAATCTGTGTGTCATTTCTAAAGTGGACAACTAAAAAGGGACGGAGGGAGTAATAACAATAAAAGTTGAGAACTGAGATAAAACAAAATCCCCAAAGTTGAATAAACTCACCAAACAAAACACTTACATATGATTCTCTCATATTTTTTTTCTCCATCTAAAACTTAGGAGATAATTACATAGAGTAATTAGAGAGAATTACAACTCAAAAGGAGTAAATCCACACATAATAACTATACAGAAGTTCAGATCTGACTTTAAAAATTACAGAATCTCACAACTCCAAATTAAAAATCAAGCAAACACTAATTGCTTTTTTTTTCTTCTTTTATCTTACATCTGATTAAAAAAGGCAATCACAATTCACACAAATTAGAACAAACTTCAAGCCATGAATAAGTTCAGACCAACTTATTCATGCCGTTGGCGGCGGCGGTGGAGGACTGATGGAGCCCACCGAAGTGGTGACGGTAGAATTACCGTCAGATTCATCTCCTCCACCGCCGCCGGAAGTTTCCCCAAATAGTATTTTAGGGGAAAACAAAGAGGTTACGGTTTCGACTAAGCTCTCAAAAATTTGAGCTTTGATCTGACCTCTTTTCGGAATAACTCCTCTGTTTTTTTGTTTCTGTTCGGAATTCGGTAGTTTAGCTGCAGCCATCGGAAAATTAAAGAAGAAGAAGGAGAAATTTAAGGAAAAAAAACTGAAAAATTATTAGGGCGAAAAAAGCCCCATTGAAGAAGAGAAAGTGAGAGTTGGAGAAGGTAGAAGAAATATTAGTTGAGGTGGAACTACTTATACTTAATAGTTAATTCAATACACTTTGTGGAAAATTTGGATCCCGCTTTCGAAGAAATTTTTATAATTTTTAAGTGTTCATTTTTACTTATCTATTATTTTATGTATTATCGAAGCAAATAATAGTAAATAAAAATAATCTTAATAGTATTTATAGATTATATTTAATACACTATTGATTAAAGGAATAAATAAATAAATATATTTATATATTATCGTAAATGGTATGCAGATACCTCGTTATACACTCATAGTCATACTTTTGAAACATTAGTGTCTCTGCCGTTCAAAAACTAGAGCACATATGCCCTTTCTCTAACGAAAGACTAAATAGGAACACGTGGCACAATCTTGATATTTAATAAATGTCGGATCTTTGGATAAAATTATGACACATGTATGTCCGTTAGTAAAAAGGGTATATATGTTCTAGTTTTTAGTAGGCAGGGACACAAATATCCCAAAAGTATGACGGAGGGTATCTGCATATCATTTACAATAGTTCGGAGTATATTTGTCCTTTTTCTTTTGATTAAATCCGATTAAATAATTTTCAATAATGACCAACATGAGTTGTAATATCGTGTTGAACTATTTTACTCTTAACTAAAGATCTCAAATTTGATTTTTAGTATTGAAAAAACTATATCAAGAAAACACATAAATTGTGGTTCAACATTAAACTACTTTACTCTTAAATAAAAGTTTCAAATTTAATCCTTATCATAAAATATTAAGTGCAACAATCATATTATAGTAAACGTAGCTCTCAATATTTATTTGCATATAATATTTTGTTTGCGGTTTAATCTCCACTACCTAGCTAATCATAGAACTCCCTAATGGGGTCTTAGCCCTATAAAACGCGAATTTAAAGTAATTAAACTCTAATGAAATATCAAACAATATAAACTAAAAAAAATAAAAATGAACTCTCAACAAAAGTAATACAAACCCCACAAAGAAGGGAAAAGGGAAACACAGAAGTAGAGTGATGAGAATATACTACTTGAATAAATAGAAGCATAGATTTAGGGGCGGAGCTAGAAAGGATCATTCGTGTATTCCAAATTTTATTGTTTATACATAATTAATATATATATATATTGGTAACAAAAAATTGAATTTTTTCGATTTGTGCGTGTCATCCTTGCGCAAGGATCATGCTAATCTTCTCTGTATTGTTCCAATTTTATCGGACGTCCCCGAACAGACTAATATATATATATATATATATTATAATTATTAAAATTCCTTTAAATTTTTTTCTTCATATATTAACTTCCTTATATTTCGAACTCCTTAATAAAAATATTCACTCCACCATTGAAAATCACCAAACTAAAAAAATTATGATGGCGGAAACAGCCCCATTTGAGAAATATTTGTGCTTAATTAAAGTGCTCATTTTATATTATTACAATTGTGGAAAATTTTGATGGGATTTTTCAAAGAAACTTCTCTTTTTTAAAAAGTCTCCTACATTTACACCAAAACTAGATTAAAGTCTACACTTTTTTCTTTTTTTCCAATAATATAAAATTAGCATGCCAAAAAAAAAAAAAAACTCTTTCCGTTTTAATTTTGTTTGACCTATTTTATTTTTTAATCTATTTGAACAAATAATGACTTTTTCTTTTAAACTCAGTATTTCTATTTATTTCATCCCCTCTGACTTAACTTGTTATAGCTTACTTGATATAAAAATATTTTTTAATCTTGTAATTTTATATCATCATGTAAAAAAAAATCAAAATTAAATAATAAAAATATATAATAAATAAATTAAAATGAAGAAAGAAATACCTTGAATTGAACGGAAGGAGTATATACTGAAAATTCTACATGGAATAGTGAGTGGCATGTTGGCCGACCAAAAATTCAATTTAATATAGACCTTTGGAAATTTAGTTTAGATATGCTATATGAAATTATGAAAGTTTATGAAATTTTTATAATTTGTGGATTTTTAATATTGGTAAGAAAACTAGAAAATACAATTTAAAAAGTTTTAAAAGTATAAATTTCAACTTCATTGTAATCTTATTTCATATTATAAATATAAATAAAAACTATTTTGGATATTTTTAAATCAAAATAATTTTTAAATATTTTTATAGTGCTTTAAAATAAAATAAGTTCACTTTTCACGTACTTTCTTTGCAGTGTTACGTAAAGTGCCTGAGTTGGAAACAACTAAGCATATGGACTGCCAATATTTGAAAAACAAATAAAAAAGAAAAACTAGAGTGATGTGGAGCCAATGCTTATCTAAATAATGCAAAAGGTAACTTTGATTCAACAAAGACAAGAAACGGTCTTCCTCCCTACAAGCTGACATTTGACTCTGAAATCGTTATCATGACATGTTAATTACGAATGATCGTTTGGTACGAAGAATACTAAATAATTAATTTTAGAATATAATAATTTTTTTAGGTATTAATATCGTGAAATGAAGTGATATATTATCGTAATGAAGATGTAAGATATAACAGATGCAAAAAATTGGGAAAGTACATATGTAAAAAAAGATAACAATTGGGTGTCAAATAGACGTAAAATGATACACAAAAATAAATGTATATGTTACTTTTAATAATAATTATCAAATCTGTTAACTTTAGGGATTAAAATAACATATTTTAATTAATTAAAGGTTAAATATATTAAGTCATATAACACAAGGATCAAATTACAATAGAGCGAGGAAGAGGGGGGGGGGGGTTGATTTAAGTTATATTTGCTAACGGTGTCAAGATATAATATATTATCTAGAGGTTAATTATCATTTTATTGTGTTACTAATTTAATATTTCTTAATAACTTTATCTGTAATTAATTCTTAAACTTTTCAAACATCTTTTTATAATTTTGATATTTGTTCTTTCATATACCGTATACACCCGATTTTTTTGAAGTCCATGTCATTTATATTTGCGAGTCATAAAAATCAATCAAACTTACTTTTTTTTTTTTTCATTCGGTATTCGGAGCACACATTGAAGCTTCGATTAAATCCCGATCGCACACTGTAGGCCCTTCAAGGGTAGTGCTCCCAACATGATTTTCTTCATACCCAGAGCACCCGAGACCTCTGGTTAATGGTGAAATACTTTCACCAGTACACCACAACCCATGTTGATAAAAATCAATCAAACTTACAAAAAGTTTCAACTAATAAAAAGGGATTAATAGAACAAATCGTTAATTGAGAATTAATATAATTGATTCCAATTTTCTCGAAATGACGGGACGATTAAATCAACCAATTATTATAGCATACTTCCATTATTTTAAAATAAATAAACCAAAATCTTTGGCCGTACTATCGTACAATCATTAAGGAATTACACAAATTAAAGAAGCATAGAATAATCCAAAGCCATGGACCATTCTTTTTTGTAATTTTATAGTATCATCTCCTATTAAAAACTAGTAAAAAAACATTACACAAAATGTCACATGTGACCAAGTGACAACCATCATTGGATCAATCAATATATATCGAATTTGATCATGATATTTATTCAATTTCATGAATGTTAAGAGTAACCATCAAAAAGTGCTATACGATTTTTTGATGGTAAACTTATAGAAGCAAAATTCCAACATTTTCCAAGCTTTTGAAGCAATAAAAAACATAGTTTTGCTCAAATTCTCGAAAAAATGAGTTCTAATTTGGCCCCTTTTTGGTGGAAGCATAGTCCTCTTGTTCTTTTGGTTCTTTGGAGAAGCAATAGTCGTTAATTGATTATGCGATCGTCAAGAAATGTATAGAATAGAAAAAATGAAAAGATTTAAGTTTTATACATCGATAGTGTAAGTAACTTTTTATACTATCAATATAATTTAATCGATAATAAACTTAGAGAGCGAAAAAAAGAGAAAATATTGGCAAAGTGGGAGACTAAAGTGAGTTGGGGTTATTCAAGGAAAAGAAGAAAATAGAAAAGTAGGGATTTTGGTGAGATTATATGTAGTCTCAAAAAGGGGGGATTTGAACATATTTAAAACTTTGAGGTCCTTTTAAGCAAATTAATTAACATATTAAAATTTCTATAAATCACTAAACTTAACCAAAGTGTCCATAAAGTAGTAATTGGAAGTAATTTCTTGGCAAATAAATAGACAATTCATACTTGTTGACTTTGGTTCAATTGATGGTCGGTTATGCAGTTAGGTAATCCTTGTCATGTTAAAAAATGCAGGATATGGAAGTATTGTGTGAGCGTTTGATCATGATACAATAATATTAGTTTGAAATTGTTTAAGGGGTAAGAAGACATCCGCATAGTTAATGTGTCTTTTTGAAAATTCAGGACAACTTCAGGTGTTACTTTATGTCTTTTCTCTTTACTTGCTTTATTTCTAGTTGTGAAGTTCCAATTTCACTAAAATTCTTTGCTCTAACTTCCCTTTTTCTCCAATACTAGTTTGACTTTTATATATAATATAACATACATGATGTTAGAAAATTTATACTATCAAGTCACATATACTTATTGGAGTAGGTATATAACTTTTATCTTATTTTCATTATTACAAATTCTATTTTGAGGAGGATAATTTGTATATATCTTCAAGATGGTGTTATAGTTTTTTAAAAATATATTTACATCATCAATGATTGTAATTGAGCTACTCCTCGAGATCAATTAGCCAAGATTTTGATCATTGATATTTTTATAATGAAAATTAGATTCATCATTGAAAGGTACTCAATATTTACTAGTGTTTGCATTCTAGAAGACCCACTAGACAATGTTCTTTGGTTTGGTGTGAGAATCAATTTTCACTTAGACCAATGCCACACACATGTCCCTTTTGTCCACATGCATCACAATACAAGTTGTGGGACCTTATATCCTTATCAAGCGCTTATCATCATGTCAAATATTATAGCTGAGGTAATGATGCAATTTTACTTCTTAACAAAATTCACCAAATAGACACCATGCATGTTTGATTATGACTTCGGTCCGTATCGCATCAGACCCATCGTAGACCTTGACATATGCAAGATGTTGGTGCTATTGTTAACCTAACCAACATGTGCCTTGTGCAACATGAATACTACTTGTTGGAATTAAATGTTTACCATCATGCTAAAAACTATAATTGATAGAAAAAATGCAACTTTATTTTGCGAACAATACTGCCACACATATCAATATATATATTTGCACCAAAATTATAGTTCTTATGGATATCCTATCCACACACCGACACACATGGCCCTTCTTGTCTACATACATCACAGTACAAGTTGTTGTTTTAATTGACACGTATTTCCTCATGAATTCACATGAAAATTAATTCATTTTATACGTAAATTAATTAATTCAAACAAGTGATTTTGGTTGAAAATTTAGTCTTGTTTACAAAAAGAAACAAAATAAAATAGGAAAATTATTTTTTCTTTTATCATTTTAAGAGCCGCACGTGTTAAAGTAAAATATACCGATTATTGCAAAGAGAAGAGAATTAATACATAATTAATCTCTTAAATTTGTTGTAATATTTTATTTAGACACTTTAAATTAAGTTAAGTTTTAATCGATTACCTCAATTTCTAATTAAGTGTTTTAATTAAATATTTTTAATTTAATTTTTGATTTTTTTCTATGTTCTCATTTCGTTTATTAGATAATCAAGTTAATTATAGGAAATATGCGTTGGTTTGGAGGGTGATCATCTATATGGATAACTGAAATCATTCCTGCCTTCATGCCTTCTAGGGGTGTGCATTCGGTTTTTCAGTTTGGTTTTACACTATTCGGTTTGGATTTTTCAGTTTTTGATTTTGTAAAAGTGTACCCAATCCGATCCAAAATAAATTTGGTTTGGTTTGATTTTCGTCTATTCGATTTGGTTATTCCATTATATCAATAATTAATAACATAACCAAATTAATAATATTGAATCTCTTAAATATATTTTCTAATATAAATCATAAGACCACCTCCAACCCACCTCTATTTTACTCTCCATTCTCTATATTTGGAGAGTAAAATGGAGAATGGGCACTCCAACCCACCTCCAAATCACCGTCTATTCTTCAAATTTAGAGAGTTGAATAGTAGTTCTCCAAATTTGGAGAACTACTATTCACACTCTCTATTTCACTTTTTCATTATTTTATTATTATTTCTATTACTTTCTAATTAACATATTATTTTACATATAATTCCATTAATTAAATATCTAATATTCATAATTCTTTTTTAAATGTAATATAATATTTTTAAAAAATATTATTTAATATATACTATTTTAATTTCAAATTAATAGTATTTTAATTTTTTTTTCTAATTTTCGTGAATAATAAAAATTTTATTTTATTATTAATTTTCATTATAAAGAATATGCAAAATTAAAATGGCAAGATGAAAAAATTTAATTTAAAAATACAATACATGATATGATAATTTAAATACAAGATAACAATACAATACATAACATAATAATTTAAATACAAGATAAAATACATTACATAACATAATAATTAATTGATCACAACAATAATTTAGAAATCCGGTAGGTCGTTTCCAGATTTAGCACTATTCGGGAAAAAATTAGGATATGATTCCGAGAATTGTTGCGATTGTAGTTGTGATTGCGGTTGTGACTGCGGTAGTGATTGTTGATTTATTTTTTCAAGTATTCGTTGTTGTTCTCGTTGCAGGTAATCATGAATATTTGGATCACTAATAGTTTCTAAATTTTTCATTAAAATTTTAGTTTCGCCTCTAAATTCCTTGGCTTTGATATATCTATCTAGCCTTTCGCCATCCTGTTGTTTAGATGTAGCAGATTCTGATAACATCTTCCCAAGTCAATTATTTTTGGTTTCGAAAAGTTTCATAGATGATGAAAGACCTCCATCTTTTGATCTCTTTAATTTTGATTTCTTCACCCCAATAGGCCGTTCAGATGAAGTGTAATGACCTGAAAAATTCTCATTTAAATTAAGTGAAAAATATGATAAGTTAGGAGATGATACTATAGGTGATGTAGGACTAGGAGCCTCGGACTCCGATGATTGCAAGGTAGAGCCTTGTCCTCGAACTTTTTTCTTTCCGGTGTCGATATCCTTAAACTTTTCAAAATCTTTCATTAGATTCCATACATGATCAAACTTAAAACCTTTTTTATAAGTTGGTTCTTGCATAAGTAGCATTTTTGCTTGATTAATCTGCAAAAATATGAATCAAAATTGTGTAAGTAAATATATATAAATATTATACTGCACAACATGATAATTGAGGATGAATGAGATCTCAATGCACTAATTCAAGATGTCGTAGAGGCTCCAACTCCAACTGTAGAAATGGTGGTAGATGAAAATCTCCGGTTTGAACAATTTTTAGCTAGACATAAAAAAATTAAGGACAAAAATGCTCATTTTGAACTCCGCAATGCATTAATTAATATAGCATTTATGGGAGCAACGTAATAATTTTGAAAATTTAGTGTTTATGTAATTGTATGTCATTTTTATTTGAATTTGTCCCCTAATTTATGTATTATATTATATTTTCTTGCAATTTATGTTATTTAAAAATTTAGAATAAAAAATAATTTTATATCACATTAAAAATTATATAAAGTAATTATTTGGGAAAAAGAAATAAAGGATTTATATTATGAAATAAGAAAATAAGAATGAAATAGAAATAATAATATAATATTGAGGAGAGAGAAAAAAATTCATTTTTAGAGAGTAAAATAGAGAATTGGGTTAGAGTTGGTTGTCTGAGAAAATAGAGAATTCTATATTTTGAGAGTAAAATAGAGAATTGGGTTAGAGTTGGTTGTCTGAGAAAATAGAGAATTCTATATTTTGAGAGTAAAATAGAGGATAGGTTGGAGATGCCCTTAAGTAAAACTTAAAACACAATACTTATAATTATACCTATTATAGATATTCAAATATAAAATATAAATGTAATCATGATTAAAGACAATAAACAAAAAGAAACAAAAGTGGTTAACTCCAACTTAATTCTAAACCTAAGCATTTATATATATATATAAATATAATTTGGTTTTTTTGGTTTTTTAGTTTTTATTTTTTAAAATCCGAAATCAAACCAAAAAATCAAACAAAGTAATTTATTAATTCAAAATCAATTTGAAAAACCAAAAAATCAATCCAAATAAAAATTTGATTTAATTTGGTTTGATTATTCGGTTTAATAAGAATAGTACACACCCCTACAGTTTCAACTATTGGGACATTACTATATGACACTTTTTCTTCATGAATCAATGATTGCTATATCATTTCTGATAGTCCTTTTAGCTTTTGGGGCATTTTATAAAGTTGACAAACCATTACCACCCAAAGAGAACCATTTCTTTCTTCAATTGGTGGTTCGTTACTTTTAATTTACTTTTAATATTGGTGGGTCAAGTTAATGGGAGGGGGGATGAACCTAGTCCTAGATTAATTTTAAGTATTTTTACTTCATTCTAGATGTTACTACAATTCCTTCGAGAAGCTTTAATAATTAGCTAATCATAGAATAAAAAGAAAATAAATATTTCATTTGTCTCTAATTACTTGTCCATTTTTTGTTTTTTAGTTATCCCCTAATTATTTGTCAATTTCAACAAATCAAGAAAGGACAATTTTTTTTTTTACCTATTATACCCTCAATTAATTACTTGAAAAAGTAAAACTTTTTGAAAATCTTAAATATTTAATTCATCTAATTCATACTCCCTCCGTCCATATTTCCTTTTTTAGTTGTCCCTATTTAGTTGTCCATTTTGACAAATCAAGAAAGAACAACAATTTTTTTCCTATTATACCCTTATTTACACTTCTTGAAAATTGTAAAAGTGTTTGTTGTTTCCCTCCAATTTATTTCACTTTAATTCAAATAAGTGGTTGTAATTTTGAAGTGAAAAGTTGTCATAAGGGTAAAATTGTAACTTAACTGTGCTAATCATTGTTGCCTTAATCTGTGTGCCATTTCTAAAGTGGACAACTAAAAAAGGGACGGAGGGAGTAATTAATATGGTAAAATGGTAATCTCACTATGTCAATCATTGTTTTTTTCATAGGTGTGTTAATTCAAAAGTTGACAAGTAATTAGGGACAGAGGAAGTATGTCTTAAATTACTTGATCACTTACTAAATCAAGATAAAATTAATTAAAAAGTTCTATTTTACCCCTATAATTAATATTCATCATCATGTTTTATGTTCCCATAATTTCTCTTTGGAAGTTTAAACAAAATTAAAGTTTCCAAACAATTTTATTTTTTCAAAGAGTTCATTAAATACTTAATTATTTTTTTGTACTCTTGCTCTCACCGATTTTGTAGTACTTATAATAAAATTGTTTAAGAATAAGTGTACATGTGAACAATCAAAAATAGATTATAAAGCGAAAACATCAATTTAACACGAATATCATAGAAAATAATGGAGTGACAAATATAGTTAATCTGCTAAATTTTGGAAAGAAAAGAAGTGTTTCACCATGTATTGATATTAAAATAAATATGCATAAATTCTAATAATATCTTTTGTATGCCTTGTGTCATCATAAATTATCTTGATATCCATCAATATGAATAAAAAGTAAATTAATTAAATTAATTATCTTATATGATTTTTTTAAGTATCGTATAATATGAGACAGAGAATAATAAGAAAGTATTGAATTTGCAATATGCACTCTCAGGTCATAAATATGATGTACAGCTCCTACACAATTTTTTCTTGAAAAAGTTGCATTCACATTTTGTCGTCTCCTACACAATTTTTTTTTCTTTCTTTTGACCAAAGAACAATTTCTTTTGTAAGTATATGAAATAGACCAGTGTCCAAATAGAAAAAGGCAAAATAAATAAATAAATATATAACTTTAAAGGAAATGAAAAAACATAATCCTTTACGATTTGAATAATAAAAAATTGATCCTACACACTAAAATTGAAAATAACACTTTATATCATTCTTTTTTGTATTATATCCATCATGTTATTTTTTTGAATAAAACATTTTAACTATTTATTATAGAATTAAATTGGGGATCAAGAACCAAAGAACGACTCGGAGTCACTATTTTTTGTATGAAAATACTCCATCGTTCACTTTTACTTTTTTAATATTTAAAAAAATAAAAGTTTTGTTTTTAATATATCAAAGAAAAATTTTCATTTTTCAACAAAATTATATATCAATGTATATAAGTATAATAAAATATTTATAATTATTGTTTATAAAAAATGTACTGTAAATCGACAAATTAAAGTCAACAGTGTAAGTGTAACCCTGGAATCTGGCTATCTGTCGATTTTGAAGTATGTTTTTAATTGGAGTGGGGTTAGAAGAAGTCAAATAACTGCCACGTGTAATTCAGACAGTGATTGTCAAGTGGAGGGTGGTCTTATATTTTTTTTATTCGGTATTCAATATTCACATTGAAGCCTTTAAAAGGTAACATTTTCTATCAAGAAATTTTTCATACCTAAGACTCGAATTCAAAACTGGTCTTATATCAGTATCACTAGGATGTCTTCTTTTTTGTTTTTAAGAAAAAACAAAAAAATAATGAAAGGTCCATTAAGATGTCTCATAAGTGCCGGCTAGTATGAGTTATGGTTATCAACAAGGATTCTGGTAGAGTGATAAATATTCATTCATCCTTAATTAAAAATTTCAATTTTGAGTTTCATTCGATACAAAATCGCTTTTGTTGGAAGCGATTTACCCCACATCTTTCAAAATGAATTTTATAATATTCAAACGAGCAAAGTTTCTATTAATATGAGTATGAATTGCCATTTCTTTTGCTTATGCAAATGGAGCAAGTCCATTTCAAGTTGGACAAATATATACCAAAAATCACTCGTACCTTTTATCCTAAGTTTCTTACTACTCTCTCCGTCCCTAATTACTTGTCCATTTTTTCTTTTTTAGTTGTTCCTAATTACTTGTTCATTTTGACAAATTAAGAAAGGACAAAAAAAAATTATGTGTCATACCCTCAATTATTATTTTCATAAGTATGTCAATTCAAAAATGACAAGTAATTAGGAACAGAGGGAGTAATAACTAACTAATCTTGTCATAATGAGTACACACTCTTTTTTACATGTGGCAATGCTTTTTAATTTCTTATCGTTAATATTTAAAGGCAAATAATAGATTTTACCTCACTTGATGCCTAGTGTTATTGAACATAGTATTAATTTTGTAATTTTATCATGAAAATAAATGAACATTCAATGAGATGTATCTCCAAAATGCCGGCTAATTAGTATGGAAGGAATATTGACTTTTATATGCACTTACTAAATACTATTTTCTCTATTCAAAGTTGTATGAGTTGGTTTGAGTTAATATGAAATTTAAAAAATTGTGATCTATAATATGTTAGATTGTATGTCTAGGAATCATTTCATTATGATAAAATAGATATTTTAAAGTTTAAGTATTACTAAACATAGAACTATGTCATTCTTTTTCTAAAATAAATTGAAATGAAAGTAAGTTATATAAATTAGGTACTTCTCAAGCAAATTACTGAGGTACTTAAAAAATATTTAATATAAATTAAAGAGTACTTTTCAATTATTATCCTTCTATCAGAAAATAAAGTAATTAAAAATTCCATTAATAAAAAGTAAACACACAAAAAAGTACCAATAATTTTTAAAATTCTTAAGCAATTCACTTTTTTTATTATGAAAAAATCTCAATCATTCACATAATACTGTCTGAATATGATTTACAGCTAATCAGTTGGAAATAAAATTCTTTTATAAGCTGCACGTTTTAATAATAAAAATAAAAATTGAGAAGCAACTTTCACATTTTTTTTATAAATAAAATAATGAATTTCAACTTATTTCACTCACGTTTCCTACACCAACCTTATCTTTTTCTTTTGACTAAAATCAATCAATCACTAGAGTATGTTTTAAATTTTATGATTGGTAAGATTTTTACTGAAAAAAGACTACTTTTTAATAATAGAAAAAGTACTCCTAGTAGGTGTCTCTTTTTTTAAAAAAAATATACATATAAATAATATTAATAGCGTACTTTTAAATTAGTACTATAAAGATTTGTACTACTTTTTATTATTATTATAATTATTAGTATTAATTATTGCAAACAAATTCAATGGTCAAATTTCACTGAATCAGCAAGTGTGAATGCGAAAT